TCAAGCCAAGTCATACGTTTGTGGTGGACTTGCTGGTGAATTAGTGCTCACCTCAAAGTCAACACTCTCCTTGGGAGGGCTGGAGAGCATGTTTGGTTTTTCTCCAATTGGAACTGGTGGACACGCGCAAAAGGTGTTACACAGTGGTGAAGGTCCGGTCTGGACCGTGCGCTGGAGAGGGGACACCATCGCTTGGGCGAATGATACTGGTGTCCGACTCTATAGTGTGTCTCGAGGAGAGAAAGTCGGCCATATTGTTCGGCCAAGGGACAGCCCTCGCGCAGACCTGTTTCAGTGTACGCTCCAGTGGGCGAGCGACGCGGAGCTGATCATTGGCTGGGCAAATCGTATTGAAATTGTTCACATATCCACAAGACCCAAGGCTGCTCCTCAGGGAGCGACTGGAAATGTTGTATCAGCGGGTGCTGCTGGAATCGGTGTCCTTGTCCCCACCGTTTCAACCGAAGTTGTGGTCCACATCGACAAGGTGCTTACATTGGAATGTATGGCTGCTGGTGTAGTTCCATGGCCCTTCAAAGAAAGCGCAGAAGACACTCACCAGAAGGTGACTACTGAAAGAATCGCTTTACCAACCTCAGCGACCACAGCACCCATTCCGACTGCTGGCCCCACAAGCACATTATCTCGTCCCACCGAGAAACAGACTCTGGATAACCAAAAGAGGACAAATGCGTTTCTCTTACTTGCTTATCTCCCTTCATCCAACCTCCTCTCATCCGAAAGCACAAATCAAAGGCGGGTCGCCGCAAGCCCACCAGAACTCCAGATCATCAATACAGCCGGCGAAGAGGAGAGTATGGATGTACTAGGGATTAAAGGCTATGAAAGATGGAGTTGCTCCGACTATCGTATCATCGAATCCTTCCAACCACCATCAACGGGGCCACTACACACGTCTACCTATAAAACTAGTCTTGCTCACAAATCTGGTGGTCGCCTAAAAGAGAAAGATCATGGAGGGTGGTTAGTCCTCAGCCCTCAAGGTATCGTGCATATTCGCAAGAGAGACCGGCGAGATAGAGTCATGTGGCTCGTTGAGCGTGAAAGATATGAGGAAGCCCTGGACGAAATGGAAAAGATGGAGAAAGAAGGAGACTTTGTTAAGCCACCTCTCGGTGAGTGATACTTCCGTCAGGTGTCTATATTGATACTCAAAGGATGAGACAAGGTAAAGTGGAAGGAGGGGAGAGCAAGGCCCAAGAACATGCAAAG